GTTGTGAATAATAGCTTTCAAGCCATTTTAAGATTTTATTGAATTTCACATTTTTTCCATATCCAAATTCACTTCTTAAAAGAGAAGCAAACATTGTATATTTCAGTTATATGTAATATAGCAAGTATGTATGTATTGTGGGGATGAAGAATAAAAACAGATGCCCTATTGTGACCTTCCGGATGACAATTGTAATGAAAATATTTATTTTGTAACCTCCTGGGATTAATAGCACCATTCAAAATGTGATAATAGCAACAGTATATTACGTATACAGTGCGTTTCGTGTCAATATTCTAATCTATTTTATGCAATATTCTGTTTTCCTGTTCTCCATTGAGCCGAAGGGAGAATCCAGGATGGGTAGTCTCTAGTCTCCTAGCTCTGCAGACCGAGTTGAAAAACTGAGGACACACCCCCTGGTAACGGTCCCCAGTTCTTCACTCAAGTCTCAGCATGTTCAGACCACCCTTTGAGGGCTCTGAATAGTTAAGATTGTAGAAGAATTTTCACCCCCTGGATTAAGCTTTTTTTCACAGAGAGGCTTAGATCAGGTTTGACAGCTAGCCGGCTTGCCGGTTTAGCACTTTCATTTTTTCGCGCCTTTTTTCCGGCTCACGTTTTTTTGCTTTGTTATTTTAATTTTTTGACTTTCCTTGCTGGTGGACTGGTTTTTGTTTTTTTTTCTGCCAAAACTTGAGTGGAGGTGACCTTGAGAGCCCGTGTGACCCGGGCTAGGGTGGGAGTTGGCGTCTTAGTTAACTCGCCTCCTCCCAATCCACTTTCCCTTGCCTGGGACGAGCCGCAGCTGCCGCTAAGTGCTTCTGTCCCTTTTCGGCAGCAGCGGCCATTTATTTAGTTTGGGGACAATCTTGCAGTTCATCTCCAGGATTGTCCCTTGGGGGCGTTCTGGCCATCAGGATTAAATCCTGACCCCCCATCCAGTCCCCAGAGCACCGTGGCAGCTGCGAGATGCTTGAGTCTGCCTGATAATAGCGGTGCAGCCAGTGCCAGGCTCACAAGCCTCTGACCTGTCAGGGCTTGCTGCAATTCAAAGAGTCAGCCGTTTTTTTCAACTTTTTTTCCTTGACTCAGCTTTTGAATTGCGGAGCTGGGCTGAGCTCACCACTTTGGGTCACACTAGCCTCCTGAAGTGGTGGACAGCTACTGTGGCTGTAGCTGACAGCTTAGGCTGAATATTTTTTATTTTATTTTATTTTAACTTCTTTCTCCCTTTCTCTACCCCTGTCAAGTGACAGTTATTTTTGGCGGGCTCAAAGATGGCCACCAAGGGAGCTGATCAAGAATTGTCAGGTCCTCAGCAGGGTAGAGAGAAGGCTGTAAAGGGATCTCCTAAGCCCAGGTCTGTTGGTCTGGAGGCAGCAGCTAGGATTAAAGCCAGGGCTCTAGCCCCTAAGAGATCCTCTGGGGCTGAGGATAGACAGGCCAGGCGTAGACAAAAAGCCATAGACAAACAGTTTGACAAGATAATAGGTATAAGTATAAACATGAGTAAGAATACAGAAAATAGGTACGAATAAATGGGGACAATAGGACAGGGACGGAATGGTGCACATGCAGGCCCCTTACAGACCTCTTAGGAATGGGGTGAGGTCAATAGTGGATAGTTTGAGGTTAAAGGAGTGGGGGTTAGAGGATGTAACAACAGAGTCAGGTAGTGCATTCTAGGCATTGACCTGTTGCTGATGTCGTACTTTCTGCAATTGAGTTTGAAGCGGTTTACACTGAGTTTGTATCTGTTGTGTGCTCTTGTATTGTTGCGGTTGAAGCTGAAGTAGTCATTGATTGGTAGGACATTGTAGCAGATAATTTTGTGTGCTACCCTTAAGTCTAACCGTAGGCTGCGTAGTTCAAGGTGGTCCAAGCCCAAAATCTCAAGCCTGGTGATATAGGGTATTCTGTTGCGAGCAGAGGAGTGTAGTACTCTTCTAGTGAAATACTTCTGGACTCACTCAGTTGTATTAATATCCGATATACTGTGCAGATTCCAGACTGATGAGCTGTATTCGAGTATTGGTCTGGCAAAAGTTTTGTATGCTCTAGTTAGCAATTCAGTATTTCCGGAGGTTTACAACTCTTAATGCCTTTTTGGCAATGCTGTTACAGTGAGCTCTGGCACTTAGGTCATTTGATATAAGAACTCCAAGGTCCTTGACAGAGTGAGGATCATCAACGAGGTCATATCCGCCTAGCTTGTATTTGGTGTACTGATTTTTTTTATCAATGTGTAGGACAGAGCATTTGTTGGTCAAGTTTTGATTTGTTGGTTGAGAATATGACCACATTTGAGCCCAAAATTTCTGTTGTTAAGTGAGATATTTGTTAAGTGAGTTTTGCCCCATGTTACCACCTTGTTTGCCCCAATTGTTAAGTGAATCACTACAGTTGATAAGTTAGCAACCCGGTTGTTAAGTGAATCTGGCTTCCCCATTGACTTTGCTTGTCAGAAGGTTGCAAAAGATTATCACATGACCCTGGGATGCTGCAACAGTCATAAGTATGAACCAGTTGTCAAGCATCTGAATTTTGATCACATGATCATCAGGATGTTGCAAAGGTCATAACTGAAAAACGGTCATAAGTCACATTTTTCAGTGACCATTCGAACAGTCACTAAATGAACTGTTGTAAGTTGAGGACTACATGTATAGATAACTTTGAGGCTGTAATGTTTCAGTCTCAACTTTCTGAATTTTATTTGTCTCTTAACATATGTTCCTTTCTTTTATTCGCCCCCTCCCCTTTTTACCCTTTCCTTTCCCTACAGCAGCTTCAGGGGAACCACATATAATTCAGTGTCGATCACCTGAAATGGAGACATTTTCATGTTATTGGTATACAGATGATTTTCCTCGTGAATTGGAATCAGGGAAAATTCAACTGCTGTATTCCATAAGGTACTGAGAAATGAATCATGCCCTTGGAAAAATGTTATCTGAAATGATTTCCATGTTTTGTTGGAACTGCAGAAATAAAGACCTACGTTCAATTACGAGAACAACTTTCTTTTAATACTTATTAAGCTATGCATTACTGCATTGCCTGGAGGATCAGAAGATCAATTTGGCACATTAAATGACAACCAAGCTTAATGTCATGGTTAGATAACAGAAGAGTGTAGGTTTCTTCCAGACTGATCTTGCTTGTTCAGACACATGGAAATATGTTTTTAGTTATGTTATGGTGGGCAACATGTAAAATAGCTTCGTAAGAACATAAGATCCTAATGAAGAAAATCAAACATATATTTTCCGCCTCCAACTTTGGGCAACCAGATGCCTCCAGGAAATTCTTAAATAAAGTTTAAAATAGTGGTGCTTATAATCCCTCGCTTCGGAATCCCAATGACACATTGCTTCTCTACTGAGGTGTTGCGTCTAATTTGTAATTTTAATGAATTTCTGTAATGCTCTTTTAGAACCATCTAGTGACCATTAAATCATTCAGTTCCACCAAATTCCTTATCCATCTACAGATAAGCCAATTGTCAGAATGAAATCTGTTATGGAAAACAAAATTTATTCATACAAAATATGAAAACAAAATCCTTCAGAATAGATTGAAACACATACAAAATATTCAAGTGTCACTTTATATACAATGGCTCATTTTTCATGGAATTTTGATTAAAAAATGAAGGTTGGCTTCTCCATAAATGGGCTGATCCATGTATATTGTAGTACTCATATCTTCCAGGGTTTTTCTACTCAGATATTTAGTTGGGTTCACATGCAAAGTTACATTTTTATTGCCTTCATCCAGTCTTGAAGCCAACTCATGCCTGAGGCAGTTGTTTTTAGCTTTTCTGGCACTCAAGCACTGTTTTCCCCTTTATATAGCCAACAAATTGTGACAATTTTATCATAGGAACCCAGAGTATACAGCATGGTGAAGTAAAACAGAGACAATGGCTTGAGTACACAAACTCCATGCCTGCCATTTTGTTTGTTTATTGATTTCTATACTGCCTATCTCACCTAAGTGATTCTTGGTGGTTTGCAAACAGCATTATAAAACAATGTTAAACATTACTAAAAGCACAGTTAAAATTTTAAGTTAAAAATCAAGATTAAAAATTACAAATTAAAAGTAAAAAAAATCTAAGTTAAGAAATTGACACAGCTAAGAGGTTAAACAAGATGGAGGAAGTGTCTTCAAGCCATCAGCCACCCACAAGGTTGCATCAAACTCTGACCCTGCCATGTCAATTGGCAGAGCCAGGACTTAACTCTACTCCAGAAGGCAGAAGAGTGGAGGCCCACCTCACTTCTTAGAGTAAGATATTCTAAAGGATGGAGGTAACAGCATGTTCTTAGAGCATGCCAGTTGAATATGCAGGTTGCTTTGGAACATGATTTGAGTGCATTTCATGTTTACACACAACTTGGACAACATCTAATAGGCTTGGCCATGTCATTATCACACATTTTACATACAGTATCCTTTCCTATTGTGAAGCCTTAAAAAACAAGAATATCCTCTCTTTTTTATTCAAAATGCTGCCACGTTTAAAAATAAGTAAGCAAAGAGGTTGATGAGACATTTTCTCAGGATGAAGAACATATTCATATATGCTGGTTCAACCCTGACTTTTCTTTTCTAATATAACACATATTTTCAGAAGAAATTTTGAGAGAATAGAATAGAATAGAACAGAAGAGAACAGAACAGAATCTTTCTTGGCCAATTGTGATTGGACACACAAGGAATTTGTGTTGGTGCATATGCTCTCAGTGTACATAAAAGAAAAGGTACATTTGTCAAGAGTCAAGAATCATAAGATACAACACTTAATAATAGTCATAGGATACAACAAGCAATCAAATCATACTAGGAAACAGTCAATAAAAATTGTTAGCATACAAGCAACAAGGTTACAGTCAAAAGAAATTGGAAACCCACAAAAAGACAACAATTGAAAATTGGAAGTTTTCTCCTCAGCCATACTTGTGATCCTCTGAGCTGGCCATTGGTTTCCCCTTCCTCTTATTAAACAAACAGTTAATAATATCTGCTGAGGTGGTCAGTGTCCCTAATAATGTCATGATGCTGAAGTAACACTTCCTTGCTTGTTTGTTTTCCCCCTTATTCCAACACTGTTCAAGGACTGTTGTAAGATATGTAAAATCATGTATACTTCTATTAAAGTGTGCTGAGCACCAGGAGAAATAAAGATGCAACATTTTTTCCAGGTTGGTAAAGGTATATCCCATTCCTTCTTCCCCCTGGTTAGCCTCTTCTGCCATCATTCTGCCGTGGTATCAGTGCAACATTGGAAACTCATTGGATTTGCACAAGAGCAGTAATGATAATGATAGCTTGACCAGGCTGAAATAGATAATGGTCTAATAAAGCAGTGTCAAACTCAAGGCCCACAGACCAGATCAGGCCCATGGAGTGCTTAGATCTGGCCCGCGGGGCTGCCCTGGAAACAGCAAAGGACTGGCCTGTGGTGCCTCTGCCAGCGAAAACAGAGTGGCCCTCCCAAGCTCCGTTTTCACTGGCAGAGAGTTACAGGAGGGTGTCACAGCCGAAAACTGAGCTTGGGAGCCCGTTTTCACTGGTGGAGTGCTCAGACCACCACAGGCACCCCCAATATGAGTGACCTCAAGCTGGCCATGCCCACCCAGACTCCCTGAGGTCAAACACAACCCTGATGCGGCCTCAATGAAATCAAGTTTGACACCACTGGTCTAATGGGACTTAATTTGACAGAATGGGATCTAAGAGGAAGGGCAAACAAAACGACATAGTGATACTTGACAGAGGCCTGGTGACAGGACACCCTATTCAGTTCTTGCATTAATGTCATTAATGATGGGTTGAAGAGGGAGGGCAGCAAAGCTGCTAGATTAACCAATCACTTTGCCTATCACAACCTGCACAAGCAAATTCAAGGCCACTCCCTCTGGTAGTGGTCTAGTATAGATGCAGTAAAATCTGGTCAGGGATCAGCAATGAGGATAACAGATGACATACCAGTAGTCTGTCAATAAATTTGTAACTTGGTAATCAGAAAGATTCTACCTGCCTCTTTCCAGTCCTTTGATTCCATCTTAATTATTTGGTTTATCATTTCTAGGTCGAGCGAGGTGGAAGAATGGAAAGACTGTCCTGATTATACAACTTCTGGTGAAAACAGCTGTTACTTCAATGCATCCTTCACCTCCATTTGGGTCCCTTACTCTGTTCGGCTTTACATTGCAGATCAATTATGCGATGAAAAAGAATTCCGGGTGGAGGATATAGGTACTTTTTTGATATGAATCCCCTTTGCTTTGCTTCTTAGACTAGAGTAAAAGTTTCACACACAAGGATTTTCATAAAATAAATTCATCAGCTGTTATTACAATTTGTGCTTTTCTCTAAGCTTCCTGCAATGGAAATTGTGCTCCAATCTGTATCTCTTCCTGAATTTAGTTCTGGATGAAGGTATCACTTATGCTTCCCAGTTCCTGCCTACCTTTGTTCTTTACAACTTAGAGAAGCATGACTTTACTACTCTTGTCTAACAGGTTTAGTTCAGGTTCAGTTTGATTCTAGTAAGTTCTAGGTAGGTCTTCCCATAACAACAACTCTGCGGGGTGAGTTGGGCTGAGAACAAGATCTGAAATCACTGCTCAGCATTACAGTGGCTCAGTGCAAAATCCTATTCAAAATTAAAATAGCTAAATGTGAGACTTTGAAGCAGATGGGGACAATGCTTCGCATAATGTAGAGGTAGCAGTAATGAAGAGGGGCGACTGTCCCAGTACAAAGATAGAACCTTATTCAACTGTTTGAAAATTATTTTAGGGTACAGTGTTCATGTATGTCCTGTCTCAAATTGGAAAACAATGCATTGGGGCCAGTTTTCAATAACTCTGCTGCCAAAATGTGACAGTCATATCCTGGGGAACATTAAGGAAAGATTAATGGACTATAACTTCTCAGATGCTATTCCTCATCCTGCCCTACAACATCATTGCTGGTCAAAATCCCAAGCTGCTTTTTATGCATAGGAACTTTACTATCCCTCTTCAGTACAATTTCACAGTACCAGTCCAATTTGTGCATCAAGTATTTTAAGTATTTTAAAGTATACAATTGGTCTTTTCAAAATAATACTGTTTGTATTATTTATAATATGTGATGAGGGAGGGAGGGACAGAGTATATTGTTAAATGACTTTTTCTATTACATTTTGATTAACTCTGTGAAAAAATGTGTTTAAATCACAGTAATTCCAGATCCTCCAGTTGGGCTGAACTGGACAGTGCTAAACACCAGCCCAAGTGGTGTCTATACTGATGTTCAGGTTACGTGGAAGCCTCCACCCTCTGCAGATGTTCAAAATGGATGGATCATACCTTTCTATCAGCTTCAGTATAAAGACGTCAATGCAACAAAATGGCATGAGGTATGTATTGCAAGAGCAAAACTTAGAGACCTTACCCAAGCAGAGGCCATCCAGAGGTATTGGGAATGAGAGACAAACATCAAGGACCTGCAAAAGCTTAAAACCTTGTAATTTACATTTTGGGAAATACTTTGAAAACAATACATCTGCACATTTGCAAGTCAATGAGTTATATATTCATAGACTCTATAAACACACTCAGTTTTCCTATGTAATGTATAGTGCAAGTGGGACTAGCAACAAACTTTAGTGCTTCCACAATTCCAGCCATCTCTTTCTATTTCTCATACTGTGTTTTCCTCCCTTGCCTCATGTATTCAGTAGTTAATATTTAATAGATGGAGATCCCACTATTGAATAGACCTCTGACATTTTCTCTTCTGCTTCTCTACATCCCTCTTTCATATGGATAAGACCAATAGAACCGCTTGAACTTAAAAATAAGTGTTGTATTACATCAACAATGTACACTTCAGTCATGTAGATAAAAAATAAACTTGCACAATCAAGTTCACAGCCTACTGTAAAAGAAAAAAAATATTTAAGAATTACTGTGGGTATCTGCAACTTATACAGAACCAAAGAAGTGGGAGAGATCTTAGGAACCATCTTAATTGTTCAGAAGATTCAGTAAAACATCTTTGGACAGTAGATGCCATAGTTTCTTTGAAGACCTATAGCGAAGGAGATGCCACCACTTCATATGGTAGCCTGTTCCACAATCATCCTGATGTTTAACTTGAATCTGCCTCCTCTAGTTTTAAACTTACTGGTTTGTGTCTTGCTCTTTGGGGTGACAAAGAATAAGTCAACTTCCTTTTCCACATAACAATACTTCAGATATTTGAAGACAGCTATCATATCTCCCCTCAGCCCCTTCTGTAGTCTAGACATACCCAGAATCTTTCATCATTCTTCAAGTGGGTTGTTTCCATGACTTTCACATTTTCAGTAGCCGTCTTCCAAACTAACTCCAATTTGTCACTGCCCTTTTTGAATGTCCAAAAACAGACATAGTATTCCAAATCGGGTCTTATCAGAGTAGAGTCAAGTGGCACAATTATTTTCCATGAAATAATTTCTGTGCTTCTGTTAATGCAACTCAAGATTGCATTTGCCTTTTTAGCAATTAACTTCTCAACCTCTGACTCATGTCAACAAGGGCATCCCAAAACTCTTTTCCATTTACTTCTACAGGCCATGTCTGTCCCCTCCCATATTTGTGCCTTACATTTTTTCCCTAGATGCAGAATTTTATATTTATCCCTATAAAATTCCCTCCATTTCAATCAATCATTCAAGCCAATCTCTTTTTTTTTTCATGTAAAATCAAACTTTCCAGTTATTTATCACCTACAAAAATTTTAAGTGTCCACTCAACTCTCATTCAATTAATTGATTAAAAAGTTGGAAAGTATTAGAACCACTTGCTGATACATTAGTTCTAATGCATAATACATATTCAGGTAGTATTCACCTTAATACTTGATAAATATTATTGTAGAAGAAGCGTTTCCCAGGTTGTTGTTTTTTTTTACATGTGACTGAGGATTCTGGGTATTAAAGTCTATCACATCTGGGAAGCACCAGATTAAATTTAACAAAGATTATTCTAGAATTTCAAAACACTCAGATCCTAATTCTGCCTCCTTGCATACATTTTATGTTTATAAAGAGTACTTTTTTATCAGTGTCAACAATCAATTGAGGAGATTCAATATATTATTACAGCTGGATCCAAAACGTGCCACCGAAGTTCCAGTATATTCTTTAAAAACATGCCAAGATTATGAGATACGGGTTCGAGCAAAAGGAACACCTGAAGTTTATGGCGAATTCAGTGATGTGCTATATGTATCATTTGATTCAAAAGGACTGGTACCATGTGAGGAAGGTGAGAAAAACTTCTTCTATGATGTTGCCTTTGAAATATTCTCTTAACATCTTACATCAGAACTCACTACAAACTGTTGTATGCCCAAATGGATGGAAACTAATCAAGGAGAGAAGCAGCATAGAACTAAGGAGAAATTTCCTTACAGTTAAAACAATTAATCAGTGGAACAACTTGCCTCCAGAAGTTGTGAATGCTCCACCACTGGACGTTTTTGAGAAGAGATTGGACAACCATTTGCCTGAGAGTTTCCTGCCTAAGCAGGGGGTTGGACTAGAAGACCTCCAAGGTCCCTTCCAACTCTATTATTCTGTATTTGGCTCATCCTGTGCATGGGATGCTTGAGGGCATGTGTGCAAACTTCATGCTTGTGTTCCAATGGTTTTAGACTTCAATATCCAGATAGGATAGTCATTGGAAAATTATAGGCATTGAAATCCAAATTATCTGGACCAAGTTTAGAGAACTAAATAAGGAAGACCTAGTTGAGTTACTAGGGAGATACCATGTGTGGGAGATCTACTCATCACATGCAGATACTTTCTAAACAAGCATGAAACAGCAAGATGTTGATCAAAGAAACACAAACAAAACTGGAAAGTGATACAAATGTCACATTTTAATTGTTTGTTTTTTTGTTCCAGAATTCCAAATTCCTTGGCCTTTGGTGATGGCCTTTGGAATACTTGGCCTAATGGTGATGCTGTCTCTAGTCTTCTTTTCTAAACAACAAAAGTAAGCTTTTGATAGATTTTCGCCTCTACTCATCCATTTTCTGTGGCTTTTCTCTAAGAAATTTTTGACAGGGACAATTTATTTTGGTTCTCCCAGGTACATGTGTTTTTTCATCAGGACAAAAGGATGTTCAGACACGCTTTCCAGACAATTACTTTTATGACTGATGGTAGATTGTGGTCATGCAGGGACCAAAATAATCTATTGGAGATATTGGAATGGGAAACTATTGAAAACTGCAGGGATAGTTTCTAGCAGTCAAAAATGACTTTAAAACATCTTGAAGCGTGTATATATGGCATATTTCCTAATTTTTGGACTTTTACTAAGAAATCTGTAAACAATTTAATGTATCACTATGATATGTATTTGAAATTTACTTATATACTTGTATCACAACACACTCATTTCTACTTGGTTTGGGAGAAGCTGATAAAAACATTATTTTCCTCTCAGGAAATGGCAGAAATGAGAAGGAACTTAAGTTTCTCAGTTCAAATTGTTTTTACTCTCATTTCTTTGATGATGAGGAACTATTTAATCTCTAACAGCCCATTTTTCAGTATGGCTGAGGTCATTACCCTAGATAATCTCCAATTTATGTCTCCTTTGCAGTGTATCTTGGAGTGAGCCAGAACAAATTCAAAAAGACATCTGTGGTTGTTACATGGTGGGCTTCTGAACGGTTGCCAAGCTGTTGTGCTAGAGTTTCCCTTGTAGACAGTATGTGCTGAGTTGACTAAGCTTCACTCAGATTTACATACTGAGTACAGCAATTAGGGTAACCACCCGGCTACTGGCAGCAATGTGGGAAAGGATTATGAATTAGATCGTGCTTACAGGCAGGATAAAAGATTCCCTCCCACTGAAGGGAAATAGGAAGTGACTTTTTAATTAAAATAATAATTGCACTGGATTCATTCCTATGAGAAAGAAAGGGTATTTAAAAATTGCCACAAGGTAGCATATTGCTCTTTAATTGCTTAGAGAATGCTGCTTTGTAAAGAAGCCAAAAAGAAAGGTTAAAATATTTTCACTTTTCTCAGAAACTATGCTTAGGAGTCAAAGGACAAGTGCAGAGTTGCAGAAGACCAATTAGCTAAATTGTTGAACAAATTGGAAAAAAATAATACTGCTGAACAATCCTATGTGAGAAACGAACATTTCTTTATTACCCAGAACTGAAATTCTAAACCATGAGAAGTAGAATACAACTGGATGAATCTATCCAAGAAAATCTGGAATTCCAAGCTTAAATTGAAAACCTATTAAAGCAGAATTTGTTATTCATAAACTGTAGTATATGATAAAGGAGCTATTAAAAGATGCAATTCACCAACAGATAAACATCTGTGAAAAGGTTTTTCACATAACAATGATTTGGTATGGTTTAGATCAGTGGTTGCCAACCAGTGGGCTGGGGACCACTGGTTGTCTGGGAGAAAATTTTTGGTGGTCCGCAGAGAAATGTCACCCCCAAAGCAATTAATCCAGTCTGCACAGGAACACAAGGCTGCGTTGCACACATGGCCCGCGGGAACACAAGGCTTGCGTCGCTTGCATTGTGAACAACACGAGGTAGTGAGGGGAGGGGGAAAGGGTGGAGGGAGGGAACTTGCCCCACGTGACTGGCCTGGCCACTGGGCTGCTTCTTTCTGCTTCTTTCTTCTTCTGCTTTTGGCTGGCGCAACAAGTCTCACAAAGACTCATTTCTGGCGGAGTTTGGGGCAGAGAAAGAAAGACTTCTGCTGTTTCTGCTGCTTTCCTTGCATGAAGCCAAAAGTCTCTCTCTCTCTGTCTCTCCCCCGAGAACGGAGCTGGAGATGGTATCCTGTGGTCTCAAATAAAGAATGATCGATCGGTAGGAGAACAGGGTCAGGAATTTTCCTGCAGACTTTTTTGGGGATTTTCCAGGGTCTCTGGTCCATGGGACTTAAAATTATGAGTTTGGTGGTCCCTGAGGTCCAAAAAATATTTACTACTTATTTATGAATGAATGAATGTTTATATGACCACCCAACTATTCCAGGTGACTTATAAGGATAAAAACCCAATATAAAAATAAAAAGCCATACCATCCCACCCACTCCCTAGCAACAACAATAAAATCAGCCATTTGATGGACTCCATCCCACTTGAGTTCCCAGGTCCATTGGCAAAACCAGGTTTTCAGGGCATTGCAAATGAACATCAAAGTGAGATCAATCTTATCTTAGCTGGGCTGATATTCCATAGGGAGAGACCCTCCGTGGATAAAGTCCCTCTCCTTGGTCTCGCTAGATGGACCTTTTTAGGAGAGGGGAAACATAGCATTTCCTGCCTCATATAGGGTTTTGAAAATAACAAAGAGCATCTTGATTTGGAACTGGAAACAAATCAACAGCCACATGAGAATGACATAAGTGCATCTCTAGGCCTGCACCAAACCATGTAAGCAGCCATATTTTGAACCAACTAAAGCTTCCACATATTTCCAACTTTTGTTAATATTTATGAATATAAAGACAAACAATTAATACAACCTAAGAAAAATATAAAAAAGAAAAACTGAAAAGAAAAAAATTGAACAGTTAAGAATACGCACAGTATTCAGCAGGTTCTGACCAGTTCTGAGGAACCAGTAATGGAAATTTTGAGTAGTTCGGAGAACCGGCAAATACCACCTCTGACTAGAGATTTTACAGTATCCTTCCCCTGCCACACCCACCAAGCCACACCCACAGAACCGGTAGTACAAAATTTGAATCCCACCACTGAAACACACATACGTATATGTATATTCCTTCCCTTTGCTTTTAAGAATCTTTGCTCTGAAGATGTTAAATATATTCTCCAACTGAACCAAAGCCAATTTAGCAAGACTCAAGCTACAGGTAGTGTCATTTGTGTAGCTTGTGTGGAAAATGTGGAAGGTAGTATCACAGGGCTTTCCCGGAGGGCAGTGAGAATAGACCCATTCTATGTTTTGAGTGCAACATATTAGCAATAGATCTAAACTAAATATTTTTCAGACTACTTCATTTTCTGTAAACCAAAGGCTTTTTAATGGAGGTTGAATAGGATGTCTCATTGACAATCTGAATTAGCACAATGGTACATATTTGAGGTTCAAAAAGTAAAAATATCCCACCATAATTTGGGATTTGCCAAGATATAGCCACCTGCTAAAATAAGCAATTTTATTGTATTTTCTTGATGCAGTTTAGAAGTCCTAAAACTTAAATGTTACTCTTTTCTTTTTCAGGCTAAAAATACTGATATTTCCTCCTGTTCCTGTGCCCAAAATTAAAGGAATTGATCCAGACCTCCTAAAGGTAATGTGAAATAGATTGCTGTTGTACAAAATCAATATACTTGAAGGTTTGTCTGCATAGCAGGGATGGATTAAATAGTCTAACATGCTCTACTGTCTAAGGAAAAGTGATGCCCAATTTGTTGCCCAAGTTTATGTAATAAATGCTTACACCTTTATTAAAAACATTCTTTCAACTGTGTTTCCCTGAAAATAAGACCCTGTCATTTATTTTTGGCACCAAAAAAGGCACCATTTGGGGGGGGATGTCATCCACTGACTAATCTCACTTGTGCGCGTCACCCCCAGCCTCCTTTTCGCTGTCCAAGGTTTTCAGGAACTACTTTTTCTGCGACCGGCAAGGCTTTCCTGAAGGACTCTGCAGCCGATAATAGAACTGCGGATCGATCTGGAGCTTTGTTATCAGCTACAGAGGCCTTCAGGAAAGCCTTGCCAGCCTTGCCGGCTGCAGAAGAAATAGGCCGGCAAAGTAGATGTTGGGGTGTGCAAGGCCTGGCTACAACTGTTCAAAGGTAAATAGCAGGGCAGCCCCACCCCCCGATCCCCACCCTAGCTTAATTTTTACCTATGCACTTGAGTGGGTGGGATATTAATTAGGTCTTATTTGGGGGGTAGGGCTTATATTGGGTGCACATGTAAAAATCAAGCTAGGACTTATTTTCAGGGTAGGTCGTATTTTCAGGAAACAGGATAGTTAGGTATTGACATTGATTGGTTGATTGATTGATTATGTGCAATCAAATTGGTGTCAACATTTGGTAACTATATACATTTAAAAAATTGTAAAGGACAGTCTATCCCCAATCTGATTTTTGAGGACTTCCAAGGATGCACCCATCCCTTCTGTAATTGTATCCATCTACCTTGTAGCTAGTTGTTCTCATATTCTCTTTCCTTCCACCTTTCCCAGTATGATAGACTTCTCCAGAAATAAATGTTGCATGCACTGGAACTAAAATGATTCCAAAATGGAGCATTTTAAGATCCTTTTTTATTCAATACTACTATATTTATGCAGATTTCATTATGGACCTAGTATTGTCTACCAATACTGTACAACCAACTTTAATAATCCCAAGCCAGAGTAATAATACAGCTAGTAATAGTAAAAGACTCAAAAGAGAATGAAACAGGAAGCAGGAACAAATGCTGATTCCCAAGTCTCCTTCTCATGGGAGTTTCCAGGAAAGTTAGTATTCTTGGATATCTCAGTAAAACTTCTGGTTTCTTCTGTCCTCTAGGTGACCACGTTCCAAGTCTGGAGCCATAATTTGCATGATCTTTTAATTAGGAAACTGATTGAAAATTCTTTCTGAATAGAGTAAATACTGCTGCCATGCATATAGAATTCACACATGAATGATTAAATTTCAACAATGATTGCGACTCTTTTGTTTTATTTTCAAACATTTGTTTTCAGAAAGGAAAACTGGATGAAGTTAATTCCATTTTAGCAAGTCATGGTAGCTACATGCCTCAGCTTTACGGAGATGACTCTTGGGTGGAATTTATTGAGCTGGATATAGATGACGCTGAAGATAGAACTGAAGGATCAGATACTGAGAGGCTCCTTGGTGATGTTCACACGAAGTCTCATGGCTGCCTTGCAGTGAGGGATGATGATTCTGGACGGGCCAGCTGCTGTGAGCCTGATATCCCAGAGACTGATTTTAGTGCAAGTGATACATGCGATGGAACTTCTGACATTGATCAGTCCAAAAAGATAAGCGATAAAGAAGAGGATCTCTTGTGCCTTGATCAAAAAGATAACGAGAAATCAATCCCAGGTCTTGATGTTCCATCTGCCTGCTTGCCATCGGATAATCCAACCAAAGAACAGGATCTAAAATCCCATGTTCCTGCCACCGAGATAACCAATCCACTTGTCCAGACCCAGTTAAGCAATCACAGTTCACTAGGGAACATTGACTTTTACACACAAGTCAGCAACATTACACCAAGAGGAAGTGTTGTGCTATCCCCAGGACAAAAAATGAAGTCAGGGAAAACTCAAAGTGACGCTCAGAGAGAACCAGTTGCACAGTGTCAACCAACCTTGGCCATGGACAATGCCTATTTCTGTGAGTTGGATGTGAAAAAATGTGTCACTGTGTCACCCCCCAAAGAAGAGGAGCCAGAAGTTCAAGTCCAGAGCTTTTCTGAGGATGCTTACTTGACCACTGATAGCCTTGTTATTCATCCCGTGATCCCTGCTATGGTAGCAACAGCTGCAGAAGAAAAAGATCCGGAAACTTCTGAGATACCTGTGGCAGACTATACCTCCATTCATATGGTACAGTCTCCACAAGGTCTTGTTCTCAATGCAACAGCTCTCCATGTGCCAGACAAAGAATTCATCATGTCATCTGGCTATGTGAGCACAGAGCACCTTAACAAAATCTTGTCATAGGTTTCTTTTCTTTTTTTAGTATATAGGAAACTGTATCATCCCTAGCTCTATGACGCTCAAAACACATATGTAGTTGGAGCTTTCCAATTCAGTACAGTGTTACAGAAAACGCCTGAAGTTTGCAGAACATTTATTAATGATGATGTGAATGGGAAGGCCAATTCCCAAAAGGAATTCCGTGTTCCTATGCTTTAGCTAGAGCCAAGGTGTCCAACAGTTTCAGATGATTGGTGATGATGCAGTCCTTTCTACTTCTACCTGTGCTGTTGACTCAATCACAGTATTGCTTTTGTGTCTTGTCAATATTGTCTAACCAAATGTTGCTGGTGCTGATTCGATAGCATGACTGTCTTTTGTTGCAAGTGTTGCTTTGGGCTTCTCCCAAACACATTGGGTATCTGTGTCATGCATTGTAAATCATTTTTTTCTTCAAAAAGCTAATAGCAAGTGTGGAATTTTGTTTGTTTGCTCGCTTGTTTGAAGATTTTGAAATGTTTATACTGGGAATTGGAGAATGAAAGATTAGATAAAGAAGCAAAAAGTTTTGTTAAATAAAGCATTATTATGATTAATATAAATATAAATCTACTTTAATACTTCAGGTAAGCAAGCATTAATATTTTATACTTGGACTGCATAATGAAGTTTAATTATTATGGTCGATGTATGGAATGTGTCTGCTGCAATCAGTATAGCAATTACCAAAAGAATAAGAAAAAATATGTTTATATCTCCACCAAAGAATGTTAAGTTGCAGCACTGCTGGGGTGGGGATGGAGTGATCATTTCTTAAAAGCACTATTCATATTTTACCTTTTGTAGCAAACCAAGAACATGTACAACATTGAATATTTTTTTACTGGTAAAACCAATCTGTCATTACAATTTTAAAGCCTAAGATGAATTTGGATTTTCAGGGCTTTTTAGGAATACAATTAATTTTTTTATGACTAAATAGGCAATTTAATAGTGTTCTTTACAAGAAAGCGTTTACATCCCTTAAATTTTAAACACCAAACCTAATATTAATATAGAGTCAAAATTATCAGCATTTTAGATTTTGAATCAAATGAAAATTCAGTGGAACAGTATTATAAACAGTATCACTTTTTTATTTAGGATAATCTGCTAATTAATACAGATGTAGGAAAGTTTTAAAGAATTAGCGTGCTTAAAGCCTTACAGGTATCTGTTCCTTTCTCAAGGTACGCCCTAACATAGTTTAATTTTATATTTTGTTTACATGAACAAGGTTTAAATTCCAAGACCTATATGCAGTCTGCTTGGTTTTTTTCCTTATTGTTTTCCAGACTGCTAATATTACTCTCAGCCTTAGCCTGTCTGCAGGTGATGATTCCTAAACATCACACAAATGTCACACAAACTTCCCAGAATTACTGATTTTAACTGGGAATTTATGACCTAGAGGTAGGGAGTTTTGTGCCATATAAAGGTTCCTTGTTCTGATTCAGAAAGCTTCTCCCCTTAGCTGCCTTATTGAACTTAGCTTCCCCGAGATCTTTAGCACAGGTCTTTTACATTACCTATTGCCTGAGTCTATTTTTTTAAAGATGCCAGGGGTCAATCTATGGACCCTTCTGCACATAAAATATGCATTATATCACCGAGCCACTAATCCCTGACTGGAACAAAAATGTGACTGGGGAAACATTGCAGTGAATTCAGAGGTACTCCGAGATTATTATAGTTGTCCCCTTATGGAAAGGGTGCAGATATTTTGCACTGAATCACAATAATGGGAATCCACAAAAAACGACTTTGGGAAAGGGGGAGGAATGCATAGGATTTGCCTCTGAACTGGTCTTAAAAGGATTTAAATCTAGAAGAAAAATCCTTCCTTTCCATTGCTGTTCCCTTCGTGGGCCATTACAGTTAATGGCCATTTGATAAGCTGTGATGAATATAGTATGTAGATTACAACTGCCTACGTGGAAATATGTTGATATTATACCTGGGTGGCGGTTTTGTTAGTATTGTTTTGATTTGTTTTAAAGAAGTAAGGTGAAGGTCATGTTACGTGTATTTGCCATAGTCTTCAGTCTTAAAGACAAATATAGTGCAATTGTTTCTGGTTTATTTAGAAATAAACCAAAGTATGTGCTTTCAGGCCAATTTCCATGAGGTAGTTTTTTTATGTTGGCCAACCAAATAAGGGTGAAGTTTGCAAAAGGCTCACATAGGACATCTAAATTAAGTTGCTTGGAATGACATCACCACAGAAAAAGAATGTAAGCTTCATTTATTTACATTTTTGAAAGATTGGCTCTTTTTTCCATATAGGTACTCATCTCACTCAGCTAATTGGCACTAGAAAAATTGGGAGTGGGAAAGAGGATGGTGGGACATATTAGCAGGTTGTAAGAGACCCTGTCAACAAAGAACAGCTAGAATGAAAAGAATACCAAGTGAGCAGATCACAGCAAGCTCTAGTAAACATATGAAATGATGCAGAAATTTAAAAATGACCAAGCACCTGGTTTTCAGCCACGATGTTAATCCTGTGTAATATAAGTAGGCCTTGAGTAGAAATGCACATTTTAGCTGGAGATTGCATCATGTATAAGCATCTT